TTTGAACCTGATGAATCACGGGTTAATCCTGACTCAATCTCTGTGGGACAATTATTCTCAATTTTCTACAACATGGGCTACACAGAAATCCTCACTACAGTAACGAAGTTTAAAAAGTCGTGTCTTCCTCCTCAATGGAATGGCTTCTTCACCCTTCTATTCAAAGGATTATCTGAGAGAAGTGCTGGTTCTGATGGGGCCAGTAAATTGTTTATGACCATTCTCTACGGATTGTAGAATGGGATCAACCAAGATTATGGCTCGGCTCTCTGGCAACAGCTTATTTAAAGCCTTGCCTCCTCATCCCGTCATACTGAAGTATCCTATGCCAGATTTTGGACGCTCATCACCAAATGGGCAATGGACAAGCTTCACGTTCCCATTGTAGCCGATTCTCCCCTTTCCTCGATCAGTGTCTTCCACATCACCAAGATAATTGTCTCTGATCCCACCAAGTTCTCTTTCATTGGATCCATTCCGGAGTCTATGTACGCCGGTGTGTCAACGGCGAGCATTATCATGAAGACCTACAAAGAATTTCATCCTTCGGGTCCAAGGGAGCTGACTGCAGAGATGGTTCAATCCATAAATGACGCAGATAAACCACCTGCAAGGGGAAAGAAACCATATAAAGGGAAACTTAAGAAACAGGCTCAAGGGGCGAAGGGTCCTTCTCCTAAGAAGCGGAAACCCTCAAAGACAGATCAATCCTCCCCGCCGAAAAGGAAGAAAAACTAGCCAAGGAGGAACCTAATTCTCGCTTCTTCCTCCAGTGATTCATAGGCTGACAAGTCTGACTATGATGAATCTGCTCGAGGTGGTTCTCCTCCCTATTCTCCTTCACATGAGGTACCGGTTTCATCCAAACCTATTTCTCCTCCTCATACCACCATCCCTATTTCCATTCTCTCCATAACCTCTTCTATCCCTATACCACCCACTTCTATTCCTATACCACCACCCATTTTCACTGAAGCCACCAAACCAACTATCAGTGAGGTTCGACCCAACATATCTGATATGGGGGATCGAACTTCAGCACCTGAAACCACCTTCACCACAATGCCATCTTCTATACCTGAACCTACCCCTACCACTGAACCTCTAACTTCACCATTATCTCCCACTCCTTAGCCGAAACTGAGACATTTTTGGGTGGAGAGAATATGACCTTTAATTCCACATACTACAACCCTTACCGGATCCAAAGTGATGATGATGATGATGCTCCCGTCACCAAAAATCACATCAAAGAACTTTATGTGAAAATTGACAATATCATCGCTTCTTCCTCTTCCTCTCGGTCCCACGTGCCAGAGGATGCTATTCAGAAAATGGTGGATGACTTCACCAACAAACACGAAGCTTCCATCACCTCTGTCACTGCTGCCATTGATGCATCCTCAAAGGCATGCAATGCTGCGACCGAAAAAGTCGAAAAACTATTCAAAAATGCTAACATTTTTCTAAAGTCTTTGCAGGGGGCTACCGAAACCAATGCAGAGAGGGTCAATTCTGCCATTACGAAGTTGGCCACTTTGTTTGCCACTGAAAAGCAGAACTTTGCTAGTCTTCAACAGACTCTTGAAGCAGACCATAAAACCTTCCAGTCCAGCATTGACGAGCGTCTCTCCAAACTACAACAGGATCTAGCCATAGGAAATTCTGTGAAGGATACCCTTGCTAGCAAAACCTCTGAGCTTATAGCCAAGAACCTTCTTCTTTCTCAATCAAGGAAGGAGGTTGATAATCTTTTGTCAGAGCGAGCAGTGATTAAGAGTTGTGTTTCGAATGTCCACAGCACCATTACAAACATCCTTGAAGCGCATGACCTAATTCTTAACTACTCGGTGAGGCGAACCCTCCATGAGAAGCTGGCTCCTATGCTTGCTATACTCAGTCACATTGAGGGGCTTCCTGAGACTGTGGAGGATCCAAAACAAGGGGGAGAAGATAGCTCAAAGGGAAATAATCAATCTCGACCTCCTCCTGTTTCCACTACTCAAACCAAAGCAACCGAACCACCAACTGGTCATGCATCAGGTTCGGGTGCTAAAGATAAAGGCAAGAAGGTTACTAGTGATAGTGATGTAGATGAAGATAAAGAAACGATTGCAGAGATCTTGAAGAAGCAGGCCAGGGAAAGTGAACTAAATCCGAACGCTCGGGTCTCTAGGGAGGCCGAGGCAAATGAAAGGAGGATGAAAGAGGCTCATGATCTCCTTGACAGTCGAAAAACACTGTTCCCTCTTTGGACTCTTGAAAAGCTTATCAAAGAAGCAATCGAGTCTCCAAGTCTCCTCTGGCTAGAACCTGTTATCTCACTGGATGGAGATAACTCTATCGACTCACAGTTTGACATGCCCCTTACCAGAAAGGCCTTCATCTTTCATGCCTTCGACCACATTGCTGAAGTACCTCATCCGCACCCGAAGATTGACCGGGAGTTGATTGATTTCTACCTGAGGAATGCTCAACCTCAGTATAAAAAATGGAGTGCACAGAAAATCATCAACGTCCGGGTTCTCAAACCTGCAAAAGAGGGCAAGTTTATCAATGTTCGATTCAAAATCTTAAGGGGATCAGAGAAAACCGAACATGCCATTTCTCTTGCTGATCTTCCCAACTTAAATCCTCATGATTGGATCATTCTACACAATATCCTCCTCACTAATGAAAAGGAATATGAGCTGATCATTGATCACTTAAAAAGGATGTTGGGCTGCTATGTCATGGAAGTTGCCAAGCTGGATCAAGAAATCGCTAGTGTCCTAAGAAAGAAGCCTACCATCACCCCAGTCGGTTCTGCAAGTGATTTGAACAAAATGCAGATGGGGAGGATTGACTCGAAGCGAAACTCGGTCATGTTCACAAGAGGAGAAGGCTAGAAGTGTTTGTTTGCCTTAGCAGATAAACATCTTTATTCTACATCTTGTCTGGAGCATGTTCTTGGGATCATCCATCGATGTAGGCAAAACTCTAACAGTGACAAGAAATACTTCAATGATATGATCCAGTGGTATATTCGATTCAGGGTAACTCTTCTCACCATCATTCCTTGCTTATTCAAAGTTACAAAGAAGGCTGATGCTGCTGGGTCTAGTAAGCCGTAGTTGAGTCTCGCCCCATTTGACGCAAAGGGGGAGATTGTTGGGTGTGTGGTGTTGCGTCTTGGGCTCGGCTCTTAGCCCTGTTTTGTATCCGGATTGGGCCTGTCCATCCGTGATTTATTTGTTAGGGTTTGAGTATTTATAGATGATTGCATGCATCTTAGTACGTAAGATTTTAGAGATAATTTAATAGCGTTCATTGTTCTTATCGATTGTAAACCCTAAAGTCTCTACAGTGGAAGTTCTTTGTCGAGCTCTACTGAGGCTTGAATCATTCGAATCATTAAGCATACTGTTGATTCCATCTCTTGTTTATTATTTTGTTTGAATCGTTTTGCCAAACCTGTGTAAGATCTAAATGATCTAAGAGATTTATATCTCATCATGGATAATATGAAGGACTCCTACTTTGATGTGATGATTACAAGAAGAGCCATCATGTTTCACTCTTTTGACTCAATAGCCGAAGTTCCCTCTCCAGATACCAAAGTAGATAAAGCCCTTTGTTGATTTTTGGTAAACCGCAATACTTAACCTAGAGTGCTCAGAAAATCACAGCAATCAAATTCATCGGACCCATTGCTATTGGCGGTTTTGTGAACGTCAAATTCAAAGTGACGAGGGGTTCAGAAAAACCTCTGCATGAATTCTCACTTGCAGATCTACCGAATTTTAACCCTCGTGATTGGATTTTACTGCTCAATCTTCTGCTAACCGAATGGTAAAAATACGAACCTATCATTTCTCATCTGAAGAGAATACCGGTTTCGTACATCTATGAAGTGGCAAAACTCGATATTGAGATCGCCAAAGTTATGAAGTGAAAGCCTACAGTTAATCCAATCGGCAAAGTCAGTGACATGAATGAATGAATATGGGAAAATGACACGGCTCACTTAATTGTGATGTTTCAATGAGGGACTGAAGTTGCTAGAACTTTTTAGAAATGTCTTTTTGCCCTACCTGGCAAGCATCTGTTTTCCACGACTTGTCTGGAACATGTTTTGGAGATTATCAACAAGTGCAACTTGAATGATGATGCTGCGAAGAGGCATTTTAATGAGATGATTCGTTGGTACATCCTATTTCGCAGGACTTTACTTGCTGTGATTCCCAATCTCTTCAAGACCATCAAGAAGACATAGAAGTGAAGCATCTCTCACCTCAATTGACGCAAAGGGGGAGATTGTTGGGAATATTGGATTGCATCATTGGGCTATTTTGTATATGTCCATTATGTACACGGTTTGGGCCTGTCCAACCGTATCTATTATTAGGGTTATAGTATTTATAGTGAATGCATGTACCGTAGTTGGTAACGGTTTTGATCAATCTTTTCTTATAACCCTAACATGCCTCTACATTTGCAATTATTTATAGAGTTCTTCTGAGGTTGTGTCTCATAGTCATTCGACACCAGTTTATACATCTTGTGTTCTTGTTTTCGTATCGTGCTAATACTTTACTTGTTAGAATCTAATCGATCTAAGAGGATTTCAATCCTAACAAGACACTAAAGCTTCGAATCTAAATGAATGCCCTTAAAATAAAATACACTCAAATGTTTGATATTATAAGACAACTAGACACCTTCGACACATCACAACTTTCGAACCCCAACATTCTACCCCTTTGTGATAAGTGTCGAATCTAGGTTGTGAACAATTTAGCAGCTTGATGCAACACCCTCCTTATCTCCGTGTACCAACTGATAACCTTCTGAATCTCTGCTTTCTCGTTGTCATTATTCTTTGCATAACTCTTCATTCGAATCAACAAATTTGTGTAGTGTGAAGAAGTTTATTTTTCAATATTGTTTATTTGAAACAAAAATTTCATCATTGTATCCTTTTTATTCTTACCCACGAATACTACCCCCAAGGGCTTCAATCAAATTTCCCCATCCTCATAATCTTTTAGAAAATACTGATTCTTGATCATTGATTTGGGAACAATAGCTTTCTTTCCCAATGTTGTAGCAAGATCAATATCGGTTAAAGCTAGGGCTCCATAATAGCCATCAATGAATACCCTCAAGTGTTCAAAACCTATCATGAAGTCTTCCTTGTTTCCTTGTTGAAGCTTCGAATAATCAATAGACTTCAAGATCTTCGCAACAATCAAAAGATCATATACGTTCATCAGTGGGAAGTCAGCAACAGAGAAGTCGAACACTACATTGTTTTCCCTTACTGTAATGTATCGATAGTTCTATAACATACCCTCGAATAACATATCCTTGGTTACATTAAGAATTCGAAAAATTCTAACTGAGTACCAAGCCGCATCTTCACTCTTTCCCAACATATCATGGAATTGATACTTCATGCGCCTATACTCCTCCTTATCCTTGAATTTGTTTGCCAGCTCGAAATGCTCATCACGAAACAACATTAGATTTACTGGAAAGAAGCTAAGGAGTTAGTAACGAAGATGAAACCAAACTTGTCTTTAGCACCAGACCCTTCAACTCAACCAACAATTGATTGATATTGGAAAAACTTTGAATATCATCAACATCCATCTGCTCGACCTTCGGATAAAGACCTTCATACAACTTGACAAACTTTGTGACAACATATACTATGATATCAATTTTCTGATGAAGAGAAGAATAATCCTATTGTAAAACTGCAATCTCTTTTCCCATATCGTCCCTTAGTTCTTGAAGTTTCAAATTGACATCTTCACGAAGTTTCTTCACATCTTCAATAAACAAAATATGTCTCTCCTTAGCCATAGCTTTTAACTCTTAAAGATCATAAGCAAAACTCGATGACTGTGTGTGACATCCCCAAAATCACAGCAAAAAAAGACCGGTTTTGTTTATACTTTATTTCAAAATCAGAGTTATCTTTTAATAAAAGGGTTGCGGAATTTGTCCCAAAACAATAATATGATAAAGATTTATCAAAAGCATTTCCATAGAAATGTATTTCATTAAAAGACTCGGGATGTCATGCTCGTACAGATCAAAAGTATAAACAATACAATATAAGCCTTACTACATTATTTCATATCTACAGGCCTATATCCGTAATCCCTCGTCCAAAACATCACACCTATGCTCATGCGCCACTACCTGTAATACATAAAACTGAGTGGGTCAGGCTTGGGAGCCTAGTGAGCACATAGGGATTTTCAACCCACAATAAATAAGTTTATTAATTTCATTAATCAACAATAACCCGATTACCCGTTCCCGTTATCCTCACTTTACGTCCCTAAACACCTATCATAAGGGACCTAGCCTAAGGATCATCATCGGGATGGATACTACTGCTAAGGGGATTCCTCAACAATAAATGTCCTAATAGGCAACCATGTGGGGGATGGATTACACCGGTGAACACATCGTTCACAACACCTACAGGTTGCGAGCCTGCTAGTGTTCCACTGGACTGTCTAGAAGAGTCCGTGGTCGTCATCTATACTCCGCTAGATGACTGGATCAACAATAACAACATCGAGGACTCTCATCATTTTATCACACATCACCTATTACATCTACCCATGTTTTACCCCAACATTTTCGTAGATATAAAATACATATACTGTTTAAATCATTGAAAACCTGTATAACAACGCTCATCTAGCATAGATAGCAAGTATTCAGATAATATGCACACATAACATGTAATTTATATAAAATACTTCATATCTATGTGTAAGTTGAAAGTAACTATGCACTCACCTGATTAGGTGGTGACTCAGCACTCGGACAGCGCTTCGATACTCTCAAAATGATATTCCTTCGATAAAACCTAGTATCGATACCACTAGGGTTTAGTCTAATGATAACCGCGACAAATTAATTATCTAACTATTATTATTATTATATAAGCATTAATAACACTCAATATAACTCATAATAATATCCCAAATAATTATTTTAAGGACCTAATAACATTCCTATATTAAAACATAAGCTAAACTAAAGATAGGATAAGTATAGCTCACTTACAACGGGTTTTTCTCGAAAACCGGGCTTCGCTGGAGCAGCGTTCCCGAGCTGAAAGGCTCTTTTCTCGGGACTCTGGGAGCCTCGGGGCTTCCTTCGGGTGCTAGGGGGTTTACCTAGGCTTTTAGGGGGGTTAAGGAGCTTAGAGAGAGAAAGAAGAAGGGTGAGGGGTGAGGAAATGAGGGAACCCGACACCTCTATTTATAGGGGAGAAATCTGATGGACTTGCCGAGTCTGAGTCATGACTCGCCGAGTTGGTCCATGTGGTGGCCTTCTGGTGGTGCCAAGTGTCCAATTCTGGTGGTGCCACGTCACCCCCTATCGCGTATTAGCCCTCAAACTTATAAAAATCATAACTCTCGCATACGAGCTCCGTTTTCGACGTTCTTTATATCCACGCGTAGGTAAAATCAAGATCTACAACTTTCGTTTAGACTCCGTCGGCTAATTCTCGACCGATCTCAAATTTAACAGTAGGAGGCGTTTAGACTGTTAAATGACCGCGAAGAGTTCATAACTCCTTCATACGGACTCCGTTTTCGTCTGTCTTTTTACCGTTGAGTTCCTATTAATGAGATCTTCAACTCTCATGTAGGTCGCATAAGCCAAAAACCGCTCGAACTAAAATTCGAGTTTTGGGCCGTGCACTGCTAAGCCGAATCTTAGAAAAATCATAACTTCTTCATACGAAGTCAGATTTGGGCGTTCTTTTTATCGATGTTCTTAGTTTAACATATTCTACGACTTTTGTTTAGATTGCTAAGGCTAAAAAGTCTTCTATTGTAAATTCACTATTTACGTCTTCCGGTGCCGTGCCGGTTTTGCCGTAAAACTTCAGCGGGCCATAACTTCTTCGTTATAGCTCGGATTTTGACATTCTTTATATGTATGGAAACCTTGAGACATATTCTACAACTTTATGTAGAGATATCGGGATTATCTCACACTTTAATTTTGACGCTCATTTTTATTCTTTATTAATTATACATTTATAATTAAATAATAAACACATAAACACACATAAAATCACATAATACTCAATATTTCATCTTTATTATTTCAAAAAGAGTTACAAGAGTTGACCTAGACTATTATATTGACAAAAAATGCTTAGCCCGGAAACCCGGGCGTTACACTGTGCCTTCACCCGTTTCTCATTATTGCGATCAACATCTAAAATAGCTTCATGAAGTCTGTGTTCTTGACGCTTGAGCATAATATAAACTTCGAGACTTGACACTGAATGTTTATTCCCACTATCAGCTTGAATTTGCAAAAGGGAATTAAGCTTTCTGTTAAGAATTTTGAATTGCTTCCCAGTAAGTAACCTGCTATCAAGAATATTTTCCTTTTCCGGATCAAACTCGAGATTTGCAAAAGTACCATCAAACTCCTTTTCATCGTCACTCTGAGCTTCCTCTTCTTCATGAGTGATAGGTGGATCAGTGGATTGGGATGAAAACAAAGATGTAATGGGTTGATTGAGAATGTTATCGAATGTGGGTGAATGGGTAACAACAGGAGTAGTAGACACAAATGGAGGTAAAGAAATAGAAGTGTCGATTGTGGAAGTAGTGAGGGTAGATGAAATAACAAGATTAGAAGTACCTTGTTCTTGCAAGGTTTCGAAACTGGACACCTAAGGTGGGGAAGTAACATTCTGCTCCGGTGTAGAAACCTTCGTGGGAACATCAGATGGTGTGACATGAGTAGTAGAAGGTCCAATAGTCTCGACATTCGACCTAACCAATGAATTTGGTACAGGTGAAACTAGAATAAATTCGTCTTCATTAGACTCACCTTTAATCACCAACTTTTGAAGTTTATTCTTCTTCTTTTTCCAAAGATGTTTTGCCATGTCTTCTACCCTTCGTTTCTTTGAGGCAGGAGAAACTGGGACTTGGACTTCTTGAAAAATAACCCCTTTTCAATTAACTTGAGGTTTGACTTTGTACGTAGGAGAAAAACTTCATGATTTTTCAGATGAACAAGATTATTTGTGAGCCATCTTTTCACTTTCTTCAAAACTCCAGACTTCGAAGGTAACACAGAAGTCTCTGGTTGAGATACTTCAGGTTTCTTGGCAACAATCTGAGGTGGCTCACTGTAATCTTACTTCTTAGGTTTAATAACTTTTCCAACTTTAGTAGGTGATGGTTTCGAAGGACTCTCAGTAGTACTCTTCTTTGATCCCCTCTTTAGCTTTGAAGGATCAACAGTAGAAGGTAACAACACTCCAGTTTCGACATTGGTGCTAATAGTCTTCAAGTAATTCACCAACATCGGATGAGCTGGATTGATTTTTTGAAGCATCGCATCAGGAATGCGAGCAACCATGGGGAAAACGGTAACATCATCCTTAACTATTTTAAGGAAATGAAACAGTGAAAATGTGGCAATCTCTTCATCCTTAGGAACTTCGATCCCCTCCTTCTCATAAGAAAACTTTAAAATAAGGCTCCAGTATCGAGCACTTTTTGTTTTGAAATTTAAATAGTTGAAACCTAATATTTTGGAAAAGTTTCAGAATTTGTTCTCAAGTTTTGGAATTTAAAATTTTGATTAAAAGTTTAATTTTGAAAATTTAAATTCTAAAATCCTAGTTTTTTGAAATGTTCAAATTACACTCTTATGGTTTTATTAAGTTAATTAAATGTATAATAAAAGAGAGTTAATAAATCCATAATGATATGGTTTATATTTAATTAAATTAAAAGGTATATTTTATTAAATTATACCACCAAGTATTTTAAAAGTGTAAAATAAAACCTTATACTATATATAAAATTAGAAGTCTAATATTATATATGTATGAGTAAAGAGTCAGTCTTACCGTTAGTAGGCCTCATTCACGAAGTTGGTCTCTAAGGGGTGTTTAAGGAAATTACCTATAAAATGGCGATTGAATGGGTATCCACTCTTACCCACCGCACTTGACTAGTGAAGGGTCGTTAGCTGAACGGGTATGATAGGACACAACCTTCCATTATAAGTATAGTGAAATACGAAGTAACTAAACACTTTTATAAATTCCCAAATCTTAGTTACTTTAGGAAAAATGTGGATTTAGTGCTAATCCATGAAATTGCACATTGCACCTTGTTGGTCGTTCGTGGAGCATGTGTGGTTAACCGACACACTAATATAGGACCAATGAAGGATGGCAATGGGTAGCTTGATGTTTATCATAGATCAATGGAGCGTGTGTGGTTAACCAACACATTTATTAGGTGATTTGTAACATCGAGAGTACCAAACTAATTTGCAAAGTTTAATGAATCTCAAAAGATCTAGGAGTTTCAATTCATTTAAAACTTAATTTTCCTTTTTATTTTTCATGCTGGAAATTGGTAAATCGTCATTTACACCTATGGTCTTCCTGAATCCGTTGGAAAAAGTTTTCCACTTGAAGATGATGTTCCACGATTGGATTGTGGAAATGGAAATCATTCTTCACTTCCTCCACCTCCTCCAATAATTTTCCCTAGCCCATGTGTTTGAAGACTTGAAAAGTTCAAGGTCACTCAAGATATTGGAGAAAAGACACGACGATGGAAACTCGGTATGCGCTCATGTCTTGGATATGAAGTTGAATATTGATAGATTGGGAATGTTGGGTGTTGATGTCTCAAGGAAGTTGGTTGTTGACTTGGTTCTTTTGTCACTTCCCGAATCTTATGGTAAGTTCGTTAGAGAGTACTATATGATGAACCACAACGTGACACTCATTGATTTAACTTATCTGCTTATTGATGCTAAATCAGAAATGATTTGGCACACCGGTCGAGCAAATTTGTCTGATAAATCATTATCCAAACCTTCTATGGGCAATGGCAACATTGGAAGTCCAAAAAAGTTTTATCTACGCAAGAGAAAGGCTGATTCTGAGATAGTCCCGTGTGCCATTCCAGAAGAATCCATATGTTTCTACTGCCAAAAGAGGGGGCATTGGTTACGAAGCTGTCCTGACTACCTGAGAGATCTAAGAGATGTGAGAGTTATGATGTATGACTCTGCATCAGGTAAAATTGACTATCAAACTCCATTAAGTTCCTATTTATAGATTCTTAATACATGATGTGATAAGATTACATTTTGATGTTTTGTAGGATCAAAGAAACGAAAGGAAGCTTAAAGGAAGAAGGGAGTTGAGTCTGATCGCGAAGAAATGGATTTTGATCACATGATTCGATGATTGGATTTTTGAGCTGCTGCTTAGAGTTATGATAAATTGCTTAGGAATATGTTATAGCATAGTTTTCATTTGAATTTGCATTGTAAGGACAAGTTTTCCGCACCTTTTATAAATAAAATAAATTTTGAGTTTCTTTGTCTTATTTATATCTCCTTGCAATGTCATTTGTGAAAATTGATGCTTGTGTGTTTCTATTATGAGAAATATTAAGTGGATGTGATTCTTAGTTATGTTATTTATGGTAGTGTCGTAATTTTCTAAGTAAGGAAAGATTCGCATCGCCCAAGTTTCAATTGGATAGAAGCTTGGAATCATATGATTTGAGTCATGTGATGTATGTAAATCTTGGTACTTAGAAAATTAAGATTAATTCCTTATTCACATAAGTATGTGAGTCAAGTGAAAGACTACGGAAATCTGGTACGCAATGTTGTGCATTGGTCGAGTCCGCCACAAATAATGATAAGATTATTCGTCATGATTTACTAAAAGTATGGTAAATGTGGTTATGCTTACAAGATTAAGTATAATTCTGAATCATTGAAAAGTTTCAATGAATGGCAGAACAAATAAGAACAATCAATTAGGCAGAAAGAAAAAAGTTACTCTAATCTGAAAAGAAGGGAGAGTCCTTTAGTATCATTTTTATGACCGTCTTATTGATTATGAAACCATATCACAATTGATCCTCTAACGACACCTTAGTGCACTAGAATGGATAAGAAGAGGAATCAGAAATTATTGAAATGGTTAAATCAAAAGGATGATCATACTTCATTCCAAAATCAGGCCGTAGAGTCATACTACAAGACTGTGACTTGAGTGACACACCTTAAGAAGTTTTTTAACACACTCATCAAATGTGGAGTAAAAAAATGTTTTTCTTACTCTTGCACATTTGAAATTGGAAAGTTATGATGTCTTGGATAAGACAAAGACCAACTAAGACCAATTATGTGTAGTGTTTGTCTTGATAAGAATCTGTACCAACTCTTGAATATCTGTTTGTCAAGAAATGTTCTTGATAGAGAGAATCTTATATGTCAAGAGGTCAGTGGGAGCCTAAATGATCTTGAATAGTTTCAAGAACTAATCAAGAGTAAACCTATTATTAAACACTAGCACACGACTTGAGGTTTGTAACCTATCGTGTTGACATATTCTTGTTTTTGTACCATTCCAGTTTGGTCAACTATGCATATGAGTTCGATGAGTTCTCAATAGATTGCATAAAGGCAAGCAACTTGTTCAATGAAAGTACATTGAATAGTATAGGTGAGCTGCTAAATAACTTGGAAGCAATGGTGGGACCCTTGATGGAAAGAAATTAAGCATGAACAAGTTCAGTCTATATGAGTTTGGATTTCACAAACATTATCTTATGATTATGGTTATGACAAATTCACATGGATAGGAACACATACACCATAAAATCTAAGTTTCATAAGGTTTCTCTCCTTCATGAAAATGATTGTGAAGAAACGCTTTCACTAGGAAGATTTTAAGGAGATAGTGATTGTGTAAATTGCATTCTCAAATTCGATTATGATTACAGCATCCCTCTTCATAGTTTGAATTGTCAGATTTTGCAATTAGTTTAAACATTTAAGACTTATTGCTAGAAGTGTTGAAATTGTTTAGACACACATATGAGCTATCTAGGGGGAGGTGTATGAGTTTGAAGAGCTTAGATAAAGGCTTATCGAAGCATATCATATTATAAATATGAACTTTGGAAGTCAATAAGTATTGATTTCTAGAAGTCCAACTGTTTTCTGAATATGTGTCAAAGCTAGTGGGAGCATAATTTTTATGCTGGTATGGATATAATCATCATGTTAGTGGGAGCATGATTATTATTTTAAGTATTTCAAGATAGCAATATTAATTATAGAAAACAAAAGGTTTCACTTTGCAAAGTTGTAAGGGTTGATAAATTGTTTTTCTATAATTAAAGGAGGGAATATTATACTTTGTTTCAAAATCTAAAAGCTTGGATCGAGAAATTTTAATCAAATTTAGTCAAAGGACATATATGTATGTTATGTTGAAAAGATTCAACATAAAGGAATTCTATATATAGAAATATTATAGCAAGAATCTGGTAAAGTATCACGTTTTTCATTATGAATCGTGTCTGATACGCTTCGGGTATAGGATTGATTGCATATGTTGTAATATTCGAACGTTCTAAATTTTCCAAATGCCTAGGCCATTAAGAGGAAAAAAGGACTAGAACTGGATTTGACTAAAATAATTAAACAACTATCAAGGACGATCTAAGGTTCGCCAAGGATGGTCACTGGTGGGCAGTTGGAAGTATAGTAACGAATGGACCATAGTGACATTATTATGAATATATAGGATTCTATTTAGAATGAGTTGTCATATGGAAAATATGGAAAAGTTTCCATAAATGGGAGTTGGATATCAAGAATCTATGTCTAGTTTAGAAACTTTTATGCAAGAAGGATATTCAAAGGAATGTACTTTGAATGTGAGACTTCGGATCTATGGAATTGTCATGTAACAATCTCCAATAGAGCATTTTGTAATTTCATTGGCAAAGTCTTGGTGACTTTGGTGTTGTGACTTTATGAAAGGATCATTGCATAAAATTTTAGAATCTAACATATTATAATAGTGTCAAGAATTTAGTATTCTTACACTTATGACAAGGATTAGGAGTTGTGAAATGAGCATCATTGGCAATGTATTCATTTGATCTATTTCACAAAGTAAGGACCATAGGAAAACAGAGTGTGCATGCTTGGAGCATGGGACAACTGTTGTTATGATTCAAGTAATAAGTTGATTACCCGAAACATTATATAAGGAATAATGAGTAATCAACATGGTGATTAAATAAAGGTGTCTTATTTTACTCAAAAGTTTGGGGCAATATAAGATTAGTATTATTATTGTGTTTCACTTTGCATGTTTTGAATTCCCGAATAATAATATTATCAAACCATCCACAGTCGATAAATACTTTGGAAGAAGGTATTGAAGCTAGACTGTCATGAATTCGTCTGTAGTTTGTCTAAAATATTTAGACATAGCACAAGTTTGTTGCAGAGTTCATGAGTGCTCCTATAAGATTAGAGTATTGGATTAAACCCACACTCACTTGGATCTCTTC